GTGTTTACCTAAGTCTAAACAGGCAAAATAGTCTAAAACAAGCTCAGATGTCTAGGTTAGATGACAAAAAATCCAGATCCTTATGGGATGTGCATGTTTTTGCAAGGTTAACAGTCACCCAATGCGCACATTGGCTTCTCGGTTCTTAAAAACACATCACTAACAGCCTCACGTGATCAGGCTCGGGACTGATGAGGCATACGGGCGTTCAGCATGTTAAGAAGTACACCACGTGATATGATCCAGGTGCCTGCCAGCAAACACGGTAGATTAACATACCATTCGACGCAGTAGTGACAGAGAAGCTGGATCACCCGGTCTGAAATAAACCTAAACGTGAGATGGCTTGTTTTCCCAAGCCAGAAGACTTGTGTCAGAGTGCCACTCCTAGAATGCATTCATAAAACATGCGAAAGCTGTTTAGTATATATATGCTTTGTACTCACTTTCAGATCTTTAATTGGGCGTACTGCAATCTTACTGAATCGGTAGGGGAACCAACCCCGCTCTAAGATGGTGAAAGATCGCAAACAGACGAACATTTGATAGTCTACAAAGCCATCTAGATTGATAACATGCAATAGCAGCTTGGCAAAGATGAGGACACCGAGACCGGAGTCGGAGCTGAAATCCAAGCGGCTCCCTTGCCTGTGAGGTCGTAGATTGCCTTGATCGGAGCCAAGGTGCTGACTCTTTCATTGTGCTCCGCATGCCAGTGGAGTTTCTCGTCCTTACGGACCATACACGACCCCGCCACATCAGAAGAAGTCTTCTTTGTTTGTGTTGGTCCGGCGGTCGACGTAGGCTCTGTGTAGTTTGCCAACAGAATCGAAGAGACGAGTCCCAGGAAGTAGTCTTTAAGAAGGAGATGATTGCTGGGACAAGAGCTTTATAAGCATGACGTTTCGGATTCCTGCTCGAATCCATCATCAGAGACAAAAGCCGAAACGGGTGGTTGATGCCCAAGGGGCTGCGGTATTTATAGGATGCATTAGCCATGCTACCGTATACCTATGAACATTCACGGCTCCCGCCCTTCATCCGGGATCGTCGCACTTGGTCTGCTAATTGCTTGATGGCCGAGGTTGGTGTCGTTAATTGCTGCAATTTGATCACGTGCGTTGGATGTTCGTGTGATGATTGCTCGACCATCTGCTCCACCGACCCTGGCGTTGGGATCAGTGTTCACCTGTGCGCTCCCCGCGTGGCTGATTACTCCGCCTAAGTGAATTCTCAACAATGAGTGTGGAAGGGGGAAAATCATTGCACTTTTTAATGAAGTGGGGGCGAGTAAACCATGACACAAGCAGCTCCCGGCCCACGCGGTTGACACGTTGTCCTGCATAACCTGCAGCACAACGCCGCGACATCAGAAGAAGGCGTCCTTGCGTGTGTTGGTCCGGCAGTCGACCTAGGTTCTGTGTAGTTTGTCCTTTTCAACAAGTAGGTTGCTGAGGATTACGCCATTCTGGTGTTGACGGTGTACGCACCCCAGGAAATCCAAGACAGTGGAAGGGGAAACATACCGCACTTGGAAAAATCGTGTGGCGTTATCGTCTTCAAATCGCTGTCTCAATTGTTAACCGAAATCGAAGTGACGAGCAGGCCGTTTAGCCTTAAAGTTCTGCGCCCACCCGTCGAAGTCACAGATTGCCCTAGTCACCAGCACATCCTGTCGCCCTCGCCTCCTGACGGAAATGTGTTAAAGTAGCTGCCAGTGCTGAGATCGGCCGCACATGCATTTCGCCTTCTTCCGCTTCGGAAGGCGGAAGCAAGTGTTAGCCGGGATAGGGTGGGGTTTTGCGCAGGCTCCCGGGAGAAAGAGGTCGTTGAAGTTAGAGACACTGAGTCCATGGGAATTCGGCACTTCTTTCCAGGAAGCATGGCTCCAATACGAGCGCTAAAGTAGTCAAGGAAACTGGCTTGGCCGTACACCATGATTTCAGGAGACATGACGTTAAGTACAAGTTCGTCAGAACCTAAAGTACGTCACTATCGTCCACGAGTGGAAAGTGAACCAGCAAATCTGCGATAGCCACAGAGGAATCTGGCTTCTCGACATCTTCTGGAAGATCGTTGTTCATATCCTTCGTCCCAACAACTAGCTCGAACACGAGCCTTCGTCCAGAAAGTCAGTGTGGCCGGGATGACAGCGTGGAACCATCGACATGAACTCTAACGAAAACCTTCGACTCGATGAATCGCGATGGAACCTGGCAAATTATGTAAACATTCGTTTACCCTGAGCCAGTCACGTGGTGTCATGCGATGTCACTGACAATGGAACAGTCACGGAAGCATTCGCATTAACCAACGTAGAGAGGCAGGGTTACTTACTCACTCCTATCGTCATCAATCTCATGTTCTCTGTCTTGCTAATGGGCGTCAAACCGGATAAGCACCTTTAGATCTGCACCACCTAGATGACCGATGATCATCTTCTCACTAAGTAACGCATGCAGGCCCAAAGCGTCTCTTCACGACTGCTGCTTCTTTTGCAGATATGCAATCGAAAAGGGAAATTTTTGACGACGGCTGTATCAGCTTCGGGATGGGCACTAATTACGACAAAATGATGATCATGCACCAACCATCACCTTACACTGTATGCGACACTTATCGCGTCACCGTCAACGGCATCGAGCTGAAGACCGTGGGCAATTTCGCCTATTTATCAAGTAAAACCTCACACAGCATCAAAATCGACGGAGAAGTGTCTCACTCGATCTATTAAATAAGCCAGACCTTCAGCCAGCTGTGAATGCCAGGGCTTCGAGTTAATACGTGGCTCTAGACGTACACGACGGTAGGCCCAACAAAATTGCTGTAAGAGGCGGAAACATTGATCGTAAAGACCCATCAAGCCGGAAAAGTACACCCTTGTCATCTTCGGAGAATCCTAAAGTTGGCATTGCAAGACAGAACCATAGAACATATAGGAATCCTCGGCAACTACAACCAAACTGCAACCGCAACGGAGCGGCCATCTCGTGGGGATGAAGGATAAGCAACTACTCAAACGCATCTTCTACGGAAACATCGCTACGGTGCTTTCCGACAAGGAGGACAGATATGCCGCTGCAAAGGCATCCTAGAGAACTATCTCTAGTACTTGCGAATCAACCCAGAGATCCCAGAATATCTTGCCCAGGACCTACCGGCATGGAAAAAAGCAGCGACCTATGAAGCCGAAGAGATCGCCGCTGCCAAAGACAAAAAGACGGCCCGAAAACCATAAGCATCTCCACCCAAACGCCAACACCCAAGACCTCCCAGAACGCCCATGCTGCCAACGTGAGTTACGCACACAGATTGACCTGGTCAGACAACCCAACAAGCCCACTTTTCGTCCCCACAAATGCCTCCCGTCCGCTTATCACTTCGGCCTCAACCCCACAACATTTACGAGCACAGGTACCTCCACCGTCGATGACCACATTCATGATGCTCCAATGCAGCCGACGTCGTCAACCACTAGCCCCGTCATCCCTGCAACGGCGATATCGACTACCGCCTCTCCCACTCCCGCACTGGCGAGAACCCTCCGACACCCTCACCACCACCAGCAATGCAGACCATCCTCGTTGTGACCGCACACCCACCTCACACACCGGCCCAGCTGGTCACTTGCGGATCCATTATACTGTGACCGGCGTACCAGCGCCAGCAGCTTCGACATACAATCACCGCACCTGTCCTCAATGTCCGTAATGACTACGCACGTTCACTCGTCCTATGCGCCTATTCGGCCACATTGGTTTCCACGACAACGGAATTCACCGTCACACTAAACACACCCGTTAACTCTGCCGTCTATAGCGCTCCCAACTCATAAATCAGTTAGGCTACCACTAGCAGAATCATCACTGAAAGCGACTCGGTATCTCCAATACCTACCCTGCCCATATAACCGCCGCACATTCACATCACGAATCAGTCACTTGATAATCCATTGTAGGGGGAATGGCGCCTGGAGCGCCAACATACACCCGTCCCCACTGTTCACACCTAACCATCGCATGGGCCTACTCGGTCACATGCGCTTCCATTAAATTTCGTAGTAAGCCACCACTGAACAAACGTCCACACATCTCCCCGTCAATACATCACAAATAAACACGTCCGACACTCAAAAGGCATGAGCTAGACACCTGCCACTTAATTGGGGTGTGTTCCTCGACTCCTTCCACACGTGGTTCCTCTACTCAGACAGCTGACTGCTGCACGGGAAATGGAAGCGTGTGCGGTTGACTCTCGGCGCACTTTCCTCACTCCAACCAATCTGGCACGTTTCAGACCATCCCGGTAAGCAAAAATTGCGGCCTGGAACGTTGTCAACTGACGAATCAACCCAGACGTTGCAGTCAGCCCAGTGTTTGCGTTGAGTGGCTTACCGGTGGACTGGGTGGGACTGGAATGGCTACTTGTACATACAGCCTTTGAGGTCCCCGCACTCAGGTGAAATCCCAACTGCCGCCTTTATTGTTGCATAAAATCCCAGTTGGTTGTGGGCGGAACCAGGAGGTGCGGTCACGCCTCAGTGCGGATTAGCGCCGTGCCAGGCACATGTGCCCTCTCCCACCTCCAGTCTTCTGGACTCTGCCCTGACAGAGTGAGGTAGACGCAGTGAAAGTCCACCACCACTATAAAAGAAACCACTCGTAAATAACCGTATCCGCGTCCGCCATGTTGTAGACGCACGGTGGGTACCGTTGGGATCGAAGGCCGAACTGTCAGCTTGCATCTTTTACAAACGTAACGTGCAAATGAAATCTCACAGACCATAAAGGCCAAACTCGATGTTTCGGTTGAACCTGCCCCTCTATAACCAGTGTCCAAAGTGACAAAAAGAACTTCACAAGAATATGCAGCTTTTTAAAGTCAACGTTGGATCGGTAGTCCAGAAAATCCCAGGAGCGGAACTCAGACGTGTATACTTTAGAAGAGCAGAAGTCATAAAGGCTATGTACAAGGGATGCGAGGATAAGATGGACACCAAATTAGAGGGCAGTGCCACGCTCCAGATTCTGCTTGATCTCTGCTGTGTACTTCCCATAGTGTCTTTCGAGGAGTTCGTTATACCGCTTGTTGCGCTCGTTGATGTAGTCGATGTCGGCGTCGGCATCAAAGGCACGCCGTCGACTGTAGGGCGCACGTTTCTCTGACTGCTCCTTCACGTAATTCGCCAGACGTTCCACGGCATCCCGACTGTCCTTTTCGTTGCCCGCCAGGCCAATCGTGTTGGCTGTTGGATAGGCCAGGTCACCACTGAACGATTAATGAAGGATGACGCGGATTATTCGGAGTGGGGGAGGGGGAGGTACTGAGATAAGTAAACTCTAAATAAGAATGTATGCCAGAACCGGATACTAAGTTTTCGTAGTTGGCGTGATTAAGTGCGATCCGGATTTCGACGGCAACATGCATTCGCGTAGCTTCGACAGACAAACAACACTACAAATAACATACGCGATGGGCGGCAAGCTGGTTCTAGTCGATAAACGTACAAGAGGGGAATTTAAGGTGCGGTCATATACACAAAAACTGGTCTCGTTAACTGTGTTCTGTGTTCCCTCTGAAGACACTACCAAATTAATTGAATGAGCCTGGTTGTTATCTGGTGGATTCTAGATGGATTAGCTGGGAAATCCATATGTTGCAGTTGGGAGGGGGGGAGAGAAGTCTTGACCCAAATGTGATTAAACGCATGGCTTCCAGTGGGGCCTCATAGTTCAGGAGACTAGAATGTTGGTTGTACTAAAGCCTTCATCCTCCTGTCGGGGGTTCGAAAGTCGAGCAAATGGAGCTGAAAAAAGGAGGGCTAAGGCACTTGTTAAAGGAAATAAGGCAAGTAAAATAGTGCTGGTAGAGTACCGGGAAGTGTGCCGTAAAAGGTTTCTGCCGTTTATTGAACACTGAATATTTCAAAAAATACGTTCAAATGGGATTCAGAATGTGCAGGTGCATTATTCGTCATTCAAAAAACCAAACCGTCGCCTTCAGTGGCACATGTTTGGCAAGAGGGCTATCTGGACGATTCAAAGCTTGCGGGAATGAAACATTGTGATTGTTAAAGAGACTCAAAAGGTATACTCCTGAAATGGCTGGTAACCTTCAAGCGAACGCGCCGATTAACTACAGGCATACGCCGTATATATTAAAGTGCCATCAATGCTGAAGTTTGACGGATTCTAGTTGCCGGTGTGAATGTACGTTCGGATTAGGCCAAATAAAAAATTACATGTTATTTATGCAAATACCAAAGAACGTGAAACCTCAAGACATGTAGGATAAGCTGCTTACAGAGTTTCCTTCTGCTTTTCGTATGCCTTTAAATCGGGCTTTAACTGTTTCGCTTGCTTCAGATACTTTCGGTGGGAAGCGTCAGAATAGCTGGAAAAGCCAGCAGGTTCTTCGCCGAAGGGCTTTTTTCGACGCTTCCGCTGTTCAAGACGATCGACTAAATCTGCACTCGTGGTCAGTGCTTTCGCCCGCTCTGCATCCACACCCTCCGCCTTGCACTTCGCTTTGAACTGTTCCTCTTCCTCCTCATATTTTAATCTGGCTTGGCGAGCCTCCCAGTTTGAAGGTAGCTTTTTGCGTCTGTCTTCTTCCACTACCTGGGCATGGTTGGCTTTTCGTGCTTCGTTCTGAAAGTCAGTGAACAGGCATTTAAAAAGAGTTGGAACTTTCACGCAAAACATCAGGGCGGATTACTAGCACCAAATATTCTGGATGAGGAAATGATTAGCTTCGTGTATTGCCGTTGGAAAATTATTATTGACGTAATAAAAAAGCAAACGCCATATACTCTAGAAAAGGGAAGAGACGCCAAATATGTATTATGACATATATCGAAAGCTGAATAAACATCCCAAACAAAGCTCCGACAATCGGTGGAGCTTAACAGTTGCCACAATAAATTTTGCGGGCGCAGTGGCTTCAACCAAACAAACTTCAAGCTAGCAAGTAAGTACCCGCGATCTGGCGGTTCAGATTTTATTGTCGGCCTGCGAATAGTTACCTGATTGGTTGATGAGACAACCTGAGTGAGTAATTCAGATATTCTGTACACATACGCCCATCTAACGACGACGGTCAACAAACCACACGAACGACATCCAAAACTCTAGGCGACTCTACCCCCTTCTAGGTGCTCTCAACATGCATAGTCGATACGGAGGCCTCAGCTACATCGCAGCCTACTCTGCCCGGAAAGGTGTCTTACTAGACCCTGGGACGTCTGCGTACACTTCCAACACGTTCGGCCTAGTCTGCCGGGGAGCCTAATACCGATACCGTGCATGCGGCATTCAGTCCTGAGAACGGACTGATGGGTAGATAGTGCAAAACAAGAACTATAACGGTCAGACCACCGCATAACTGACCATGAATTATTAGTGGCGTCCATAGAAGCCACCAAAAGACAAGGGACAGACTATCGGGAAATAAGTTGGAATGAATTCTTTTCCCCATTACCAACCAGCCACATAAACCTTAAGGATGAGAATATCTGGTAACAAGTATACTTGAAGACGATAACTCGTCTGAGGACTTGGTGGTGGCACTGAGCATCAGTTCGTCTCAATGGAGGCCAGCCGTGAAAACACCGCTTTGGATTTGATCGACTAAATATTAGCAGCTGCGACTACTTATCCAACGGGGTGACAGTACAATTGTGCCCGATCTCTGGCGTCAGACGCGCGAAGAAACTGCAGGACTTCCCTAACCCGGGAAGTGTTATCAAATAACCCAAAATAATCAAATAACAAAAATCTTACGATTTTCAGGTGGAGATCTCGCAGTCTTTGTAAACGGTCGGCCTTTGAGCTTGTTGAGGCCATTCTACGGCAGGAAACCGGAACAGCCAACCAGACAAGAGGTGACAAGTTTGCAGCCGGGATACAAAACCGGCGCACACAATTGCAATAGAAAAACAAAACGCATGGTTCATTTTTTGGCAATTCTAAAGGTAGGGGATAGTGATAGGAATAAAAAAAAACAACAATTTATCACTATGACGATACAAATTTGACGTTTCATATGGCTTTGCTGTTGTCAGCGGTCGGTGCAAGTAGCTTAGTGTTTGATTTTGAAGTATCAAAATAGGAATCGTTGGGAAAATATGCACATACATCAGAGTAAAGGGTTAATACGGACAAAGACAGAGGGTGGAAAACGAAATGTAACAACGATGAACGAAAGAACAAACATATAACAAACGAAGGTAGAGCTTATCATGTAGGCAGATAACCGGCTTTGGTCGGGTCCACGTGACGTGCTTGGTCCGGGATTCTCTACAAGATGAGTATTCACTTATTTATTGAAACAAGGTCAGAACTCTATGCTCTATTTAGGCCGCTACACCGGTAATTAAGTGAATTTTCGAGACTTCAGTATAACGCGCACACCGTTAAGACTTTTGCGCTATTCGCCCATTTGCTACTGTTTTCTACTTTGTTTGCTTGTTTGTTTCAGTTCATTTCTTCGGTCCACATTCCTCAATATTACGCGCTATACATAATGGTCATTCGTATTATTCAAGGCTACTGTCGATATAAAAAAAACTACTTACACTTCTTTTCTTACTTTTCTTACACCGTTTTTCTTGTTAAGCCCACTGTGCAAACTGTATCGTTAGACGCGATGATTGATGTATGCGGACAGTAATCCGTTGGTCAAGAAATGCAGTGGTGGTTGTTTTGCCCTATTTACGTAGCCAATTGCCTTTTTGGGATTTTTATGTACTCCCTTGACCGTTTTTTTGATTGAAATGCTATCCACTCTCTCTCTCTCTCTCTCTCTCTCTCTCTCTCCTCAGCAGTATTCGATATTTATTTTGTTATTTTATAAAAAAATCTGCTAAACGCTGTAGCTTCTGGGCATGTAGCGTACTTTTCTAAAGTCTCCTTTTCATTATTAAGATTTTTTATGTTCGACGTCAATCACGCGAGATCGGAAGCTCTCGGTCGCCTCCTAACTAGGCAACCAATCTCAACAAAATACTGCATTACGTTTTTAACGAGTTTATCTTCTTCCATTAGATTTTCCATTTGTTTGTATTCCAAGTTCTACGCATTTCTGTCACTGACAGCTCAAACCTCGGGTACGGAAAAATGACTATACTTCCAGACAAGAACGTAATCGTCGTTTTGACCAAGGGGCGTGAGAGAACCCCAACAGAGAATAGAACTATCGCTCCTAGTAATCATGAGGCCAAAGTGGCTTGACAGCTTCCTAGCAGGGAATCGTGTACTAGGCAATTGAGTTGTCTATTAACGACTGAAGAATTTATTGTTCGAGATAGTTTTTAGTCTCATATAGTTCATTACTCTCAGGGATCTCAGGCCCGACGTCAATATCGGCGTGACAATTGCCGTTCACATGGTTACGGGTATGTGTGAATGGGTCAGAAATGCGAACAACGCAGCGGTCGAACAGCAGGCGTCGGCCACCCTGACGCCGCCCCGTCCCCATACCCGACAGATTGGTCAGACATTTACATGATATCAATGACTGTTATAACTGCTATGTAAATATCCGCATGTTCTTTTTCATACGTCTATCTGTAAATATGGTTTTCCAAGGCTCTGCCTCTATCCCTCATATATGCTGAATTATACTGAATAACTATTCTTGACGTGGTTGATACCATCACGTATACATGGCACCATTTTCCCAACCCTTCGTCCCTTTCGGTGCATGCGGATAAGCTGAACACCATACAACATGACTTCTACATATTCCTTCTGCTCTGTTAAAATGTTTTACTTAGTTTCCTTTAGAAGAGTCACAGACGTAGTCATTGATAAATCAATCAATTTGTGTCCTTTATTTTATATCTACAAATGATGTAAGAGTGCACATATTTGGAACGTGTTTCCTCCAATAAAACAGATGTTCACTCCTATTTAGCTGGTAATGAATGTGCATCACGATGTGCTTTTTCGATTGGCCGTTAGAAATCATGTTGTAAAAAGCATTATTTTTAAATAATTACTCAGCAAGTGTCTTCTTGAGACACAGGAATGGTGTCGGCCATCATCGTTTTGTCTGTCGGCGGGTTCCATGGTCGGACTACTTGTTGACTGGTAAAGCATTTTCTGAGGCCTGGCCGCGTGGGTTCTTTTTGAAGTTGTACATATAGCCGCACAGGTGCGTTGTGCATGCAAACCTAAAGATACTCCTGGGCTTAGTGGACAACCATGACTGCAGATAGTCCGAGATATCCGCAGCAGGTTACATCTCGATTGCCTGTGAGATAGAAGGGATGAGTAAGGCTCTTTCAACTTACCCTACTACGGCAGTTTTTTTAATACTGACAGCCATGTCCGTTGTTCTGATTTGCACCTGCTTATAGAAGACTATATCTTTCTTAATCCGTCATGTACATGCCGGCCTTCCGTATTCCAGATAAGGTCTCGCTAAATTGCCGCAAAATGCGTTCTAAAAACAGACGGGAATATTTAAATAACATTCTCGTCCAGTGCAAACTACGAATTGCCTTGCTAACCATCAGAATGACGGTCATCCCAGATTCCTGAAAATTTCCGCATCTTTTGATACAGTTCCGTTAATAGAATATGCTGCTTCTGTGATATTTTATGAGTGATGTTCAGGCGTAGGCTCAGGCACAAGGTCACACAAGGGTATAGTGATGCTATGCGCTCGATCGGGCATTCAGTCTGCCTATGTGCGTTTGCAGTTTTATGCCGGCAGCATAATTCACTTTATTCCATTTTTAAATGGTGCCGCTGTTGGGTTAACTGTCCTTATAAACCAAATAAAATTGCCCATGTTGGCATTTAACACCGCAATTTCATAAAGCTTATATCAGAGGGCCTTTATCAACGACATCAACCATAAGAATGGTCTTGAATGACTTTATGTTTAATTTCACCAACTTTACTGTCGTTAAGTCTGCGTAAAGCCTGATTACGCATTTCTAGGCAAGCTGAGGCTGTGAAGATTATTTTGTTTTGATATGCAAAAGTCTTAATAATAATGATAATAATCATTGTATTTAATGCCAGTTTACAGGCATTAAGAGGCACTTCGCAAAATTCGGCTACTTTACCAGACTGTCTGACAAGACGGGAGAAAAATAATGCTCGGCAGTGAAAAGCGAATTTTACAAAAGGCCTCAAATAAAAAACAAACAATAATTGCCTATGAATAGCAAGGTACAGGCAAAGCTTCATTTATCATTGAAATTGAGCTGCGCACCTTGATCTTGACCCCGACTTCTGTATTCTTTTGCAAAATTTAGGTGGACATGTGCTCGCGCCATCACCTAGTGGCTAACTTATTCGTCCTGACTTAAATGGCGCAAACAGCTCGATATAATGGTCATATTCGTCGGCGCATTAGTCCACATGTATTCTACAGACGTGTTTCACAGTATAATAATTTCCCGAAGTGAATACTTGAGACTGAAGGAGTTCTCGATTTCGCTTCGAGGTTTTGATTTAGGCTCTCCGGGAAAACAATAAAACGATTGTTTTATTCATTAACTTTGAAATAACTTTATCGGTGATGCCTGACCTTGATGAAGAGACCAGGAAGGCGAGCCACCACTAGATGGATGGGGAGTTTATGGTTATTAAACCGTGCTTAAATGGAAGTATGCCGTACTGTGGTGGTACGTATAGCCAGAGGAACCAATTTCACGCATCAATGGGTCACCCTGTTCATATGGAACGTAACCTTTCATTTATTCCACCGGAATAAATAGGTTTGGCAACTGAATCCAGACCTTGCACTTACTCCACGCTGGACTTTGAGAGATTTAAAATCCACCCGGTATTATATCTGGCAGCCACTGATACTACCGGCCTCTCGGCAACTGGCGTGCTGCAAGGGAACATCACCGCGCCCCAAGTAAGACCACGTTCTCCGACTATAGACAGCTGACGGAAATAGATACCTCCCACACATTCTTCTGGAGCGGCTGCCCAAAGGAAAAGCAAATGATGCTGCCTCCGCCTTTGCCATTAAGAACGACATCGTGGGGCGACTGCGTTGTCTGCCTCGGGACATTAGCAACCGACTAGGCTTGTCTTTTCGGAAAACCATATCCGCCACAGTCTTTGTAACTCCCACTGTCGCGAGCAGCCTTGACGAGAGGAGGTCAAGGTTTACATAGAGGCACCCGCCCTCCTGGCGAAGGTGTCGAAGTCGGACAAATTGACTGTCCTTGGCAGGTTCAATGTCCGCGACGGGAAAACCCAGTGTGTCTCGAAGAAAATGTTTGATTTTCAAGGAGTCGGCGCCTTCAAGACTAACAGTCCTTGTGTCCTACAGACGCACGCGTAACACAACCACATGCAGACCACCTAATTCTTCTGCCTGCTAGCGCGGGAGAAGGCAATGCTTATGCCTTCCCCTGCCTTGTTGTTCTCACTACCGCGGAACTATTTTCTCATCCGAAGGCGAGATGGCTATGATGCACTTGTGACAAAGGCAATTTGCGTTGCAAACGGCAGGACTGACAACTGCTTTTTCGTTTCCAAGATAAGGGTGAGAATACAATCCCAAAAGTAATCTCAAGATGCGACCGGCGAAGAAGTTTGTTAATATCCTGCTTAGCATACTCGACAATCGCTAGCATTTTTCCATCCGGAAGAAATGTGGGTTGGTTTGATAAAGTCTTACGCATTAGCTGCGTATCAGGCTATGCTGAAACCATACTAAACTCATGTAAAACTATGTTAGATCATGTTACAAAGCCGACAAATATTTATATAATGCCACATAAATAGGAACAATGTAATACATGATAAAACATTATTTTCATCGTAACTTACTAATGAATGTTCCGTGCTCCTGATATACAGCCATCTTT